TTTGAATACTCTTCCATAGGCAAAGCTGCTCCCTCAGGCCTGACTTTAATTCTTTGTATAGCCTTAAGCACAGAGATATTATAAAGTTTCTGTTTTGAAAGAAGCCTATTGCAAAAGTGAAGCAAGTTTTTCAGACACGAAGCTATTGTTTGAAGTCAGAATAGGGCATGTCAAATTCTAAATTCCTCTCCTTGAAACCTGAGATATTATTTAATTATATTTATCTCCTGTCTTTCCTTCAGTAGGTAATGGTATTAGCCATAATGCTTCCTCTTTTTTTCCTCCCTGAATATCTCTAGAGTTATTCTAGAGAAGGTGACTGACCCATGGTCACCCAATGAAATTCTTTGACTGAGGGAGGATCAAAAGTCGTTTTCCTTGATTCAAGTATGGCATTTTAACCAATACACCACACTATATCTCTAAGTCTGGCCCACATACATCACATGGTTCCTCCCAAGATAGGTAGCCCTCAACGTAGAACTGTAATGGACCCTGCGCATCATGGTCATAAGTCCTGATGTTCATAAAATGATCATGTGAATGCCACCTTTTTGTGGCAGTCATTAAGTGAGTCTGTGGTCATTAAATAAACCACACAGTTGTTAAGTGAACCAATGGTTTGCTATGGACAGCGTTTTGCTGAAAATCTGGGATGGACTCACTGGCTAAAGGACAGGAATGGGTAAAAAGGCATTCCATAATGGAGTCGATCTGTGAGAGGAAATTAGATACTGGACAATGGTTGCATTTATCTGATCAACTGCTTTATGATGGTCCTATGACCATGGGACAGTGCAAATGACCATAAATGCATCTGTATTGCTGAACCCTTGAACTTTGTTCATGTGATTATGGGGTGGGGAATTTGACTGCCAGAACTTTGAATCCAGATCATAAGTAGCCCCAAAGTAGGTAGATTGTAATTTCACTAAGCGACCAGTCATAAGTCAAAGATTATCCGTATGCTTGTCTATGCTGTCAACTACAGTTCTAGTCCTCCCAGTTCTGCCTTGAAGAGGCAACTGAGATATTTCAACCCATTAACCAAGATAATAAAAATAAAAGATTGATAATAGTAAAGTCATCTTCAAGTTGACTTGTCTTGACATCAAAGTGGCTTGTTCTTGCTTTCTTCTGCTATGTTCTTTTGGAGATTTCTGAGATTTTTCTGGTCTTCCATCCAGGTAGTAGATCTTCTTTTCCTAGGTGCTGCCATCTGTTTGTCAGCTGATTATTACCCCAAACTTAGATTGAAAAGTAGAATAAAAACTCTCAGATAGATCTTACGAGACTATATAGTTATATATTCTGTACTTATAGTTTAAATTTCTCTTTTCTGTTAATGTGTTTTTGGGATTAGTGATATGTATGAGCAGAAAAGTGAGAAGCCAACTCAGTGAATCAAGCCCTCCAGTGTTCAAAATGAAACTATATTTCCATAAATGAATATACATGGAACACTAATAAGTATGCATATTGTTGTTTGTCTGAGCTTTAAAGTGGGTTTTGCATTATCTTTAAATATGTCTATGAAATATTCATTACAATGTTCTGTTCTGCTTGATTATATTTCCAGATCATTTAAACGATGCTTTGCCATCTCCATTTTCAGATTTAGAATGGAATAACTTTAATGCTCCTATTAGTAGCAGACAGCTGTGTTTTTTATTTGTAATGTATTTTTTTTTTTGTTTGGGTTTGTGAGTTTTTTCCTATAGTATTTTTCTTTGTAAAAAAATTTAAGTGTTAACATAAATGTGTTGGGCTGAAAAGAACTTTTCTTGCTTAGTAAATCTGCTTTTATACTGCAGTTGGCAAGAATAGTCAAATCGCTGCAGTTCCAAAGTATTAAATCAGATGTTAGATTAATTTAGCATATTTCCTAACATAGATTTCCCCATTTTTTCCAATGTATAGTCCAAGCATACACATTATTTCCATTCAGAATTGCTTTTTATAAAACACCCAGTTATCTACATTGTAAATAAAAAGCACATGAAAGCAAGGTTTTTGAGAAGCATCTCTTATTACAAACAAATACAAAAAAGCAGAACTATTATATGAGAAGAACTGAACTGGGAGAAAGAAAAACTGTGTTTACCTAAAATGTTTTATCCCATGTTTTGGCTACCTAGCAGGTAATGTGGTTAACAGTAAAACAGTATTCATCTCAAAGATACTGTCTGAATCAATCTATCAATCAATCGATCGATCGATTGATCAATCAATCAATCCTCAGTAAAACCAAATTAAATAAAACTAGTATGAAAAAAATTCTAGTAACAAGGATGGCAAGAGTTAGTCTGAGAACTGAAAATAATATAAATCTGATTGCACAAAGTGGGAGTAGCTCAAAGGTTTGCTTCTGAGTGGACACTAATTGGGTTTCAAAGAGTGGAGCAGTGGTGAATTTGAATGGGTGGAAGGTTATAACTTTCCTTATTGTTCATCTCGATTCAGGCAGAATCAGGCTGTGCCAAATTATTTTGGCTTTACAGTCCATAATTGCATTTGGAAGTAAACTGATAATTTGAGAATTTACCAATTATTATGTGGGGCAAAAGTAAGTCTTTAGGTCTCTAGCTAATAGTAGGGGGCATAGATTTGTTAATCAATGAATTGATCAAAAAATGCTTTTAAATTGTCTTTGTATTACAGAAATATTTAAACATTAAACTGTTATGTCTGAAGAGGTCCTCTCAATGATTAAGGAAAGGTTACACTATAATACCTTTCAGTCTGCAGCAATATATATTATATGCCATCAAATCAATGTTGAATCTTAGTAGCTGCATAATTTTCTCCATGACAATTTGTCCTAAACTGTTTTTTCAGGTCTTCCAATGGTGGACTCATTGCTACTATAACTTTGCTGCTGGTTGTCCTTTTCATCTCTTTCCTTCTGCCTTTCCCAGGATTAGTGTCTGCTATAGGAAGCCAGGTCTTTGCATAATGTGCCTGGTCATTTGTGCTTTGTGTGAGAACTCTAGGTTGATTTGTTCATTGTTCCATTTGCTTATTTTCTTGGCTATCCATGGTATGCGCAGGAATCTTCTCCAACAGCAAAACATCAGAAATATCAATACTCTTCCTATCTGCTTCTTCAAAGTCCAACTGCCATAATTTGTATGATTCTGATCTTTATGGGTTTAAACACTGTACATCATGACATTTGAATATCTTTTCCAAGACTTTCATGGTTGCTCTACCATGTTTTAATTTTTATTTATTTCTTTCTTTATATATATATGTATATATAACAAGACCAATTCTATACACATTACCATACTGATATGTGTAGGTATGTGATAAACAGTGATACCAAAAATTGAGAAAGAAGGACACAAAATAATTTTTTAATCTGTTTCTAGCTTTACATTAAAAAATGAGCACTGGTCTCATAAAGGAAATTCTAATTTCTATATATATATATATTATTCTAACTTCAGAAGAAAGTAAATTTTAATTCTTTTCTACTGCAGGAAATATTTCACTGCCAAGCAAATGTGGTTCATGATTTAAAATATTAATTATTGTTTATATGCTATCACAAACACTTAGTGACTCCATTGACAGAATTTCTCCAGAATTAGCAGCTTCATATCTTCCAACGGTACACCCCTCACTGCTATGAGTCAATCCATTTTGCTGCTTCTTTCTTTATTTTCCAATAACATGGATTTATTAAGGGAGCTACGTCTTTATTTTTGCATAATGTGTGAGAATTTTAGTTTCTTATATTACACTTCTTTCTCTGGGTCTGAAGTGCCATGACATAGCAGCACATACAAACCAGTGCCTGGATGACAATCTATATGTAGCTCCTTAATTACCATGATAGAAGACTGGCGGGATGCTAATGAAATAAATAATTTAAAATGTTATTTTCTTTCTTGCTTTCCATGCTTTAAAAAGATAAACTCAGACACTACTTTCATTTCAAGATAAATCAGGGCATCTGGAAGGAAGAAAATGACATAGGATTCTTAATTTACCTAATTTGCAACCTGTCACTGTTTAAAATTAATGGATTAGACCAGTATTTCTCAACTCTGACAACTTTAAGATCTATTCACTTCCAATTTCAGAATTCCCCAGCCAGATACTTGAGAAATTCTGGGAATTGAAGATTACTCACCTTAGAGTTGTCAATGTTGAGAAACAATGGATTAGACAGTATATAGGCTATGGATGTGGGACTAAAAGTAGCAGTAGCTCCACAGCTTTATACAAGCAGTATGTATTATATGACAGAGCAGTTAAGTTTATTGCTGGGATATATAATCTAATCCCACTAAAGCACTGTTTATGCTAATCTTATAGTCTCCATTATGCATCAACTATTCTTTAAAAAACATCTGAGCGTCTTTTTTGTTTTAGATAATTTTTTTGTCTCTCAGGCTTCTAGTCAATAACTAGGTTATTTATTTTAAAAATTTTGTTGGAAGTATGATATTTACATTTTAATATTATTGGTGCCCCAAAGTGAGGAGGAGTAATATGTTCCCACTGAGTGGGAAGTGAACAATGCTGATGTAACCTAATATGAATGACTTACCAATGTAACTGAGCTCAGAATTACAATCATAATTTGTGGTGGTTGTTAAGTGGGTCATCATGTGATTGCATCCAATTATGAGATCTTTTTTGCAATTCCTGAATATTACTTTAAAACATGTGCCATTGTATGCTATTTCCTTTGTCAGCTGTAAAATCAGAGTATAGGGATATAATCCTGAAAATGTGTTCTGCATTTGCACTGTTCTTTGAATCTAGATTTGTGCCTGGTTGTTTATGCATGTAAGCATGGATAATACTGTTTCTAAAGCATCTGTTTTTATTGTTTAAGATAAATATTTATAACACAAAAGTTCAAGCAACTTATTTCAGTTCCTACTAACAAGGCAGTTCCTGTGATATTCTAATCAGGCGAATTAATTGCCATACAGTTATCTTGGTATGAAGTAGTAATATAGTTTTATTTATTTCCCATTCAGCCCCTGTGCTTCCTGGGGCCTATCAACAAAATCAACCCCAAGGATATGGTTACATGCACCAGACTAGTGTGTCATCTATGAGATCAATGCATTCACAGCCACATTCAGCTAGCTTGGTGAGTATTAAATTGAAAGATATTTAAAGATAATTTTGCTATATTTAATACTTTAAAAAGTTGCCAGGATGCAAATTTTAAATTATTTATGAAGAGATGGTATAAACGAATGTATTTTCTTTTTACATGAGTGTCTGTAGGAATAAAATAAAAAAGTCAAGATGGGCAAATGCAACCCTGTGATTGGAGCCCTGCCATTTGATCACATGATTGTTTCTACCATCTTAACATTTTTGACTACAATTATGGACATCCCTGAATGACTACTGATTTCTTCTTTGAAAAATGTTATACACAAAAGGAAAGCTTGCAGAGTCCTTCAGCCAGCAATTTTAGTCACATAAAAGTTTTATGTGTAGATAGATGGATATATGCTTATAGAAATTGTTGTATTAATTGGTCAGTAGCTGCCTTTCAATGGAATAGGTTTAATGGACTTTCCTCTATTTTCTGTTAACAGAGAACTTATAGAGCTATGTATGATTATAGTGCCCAAGATGAAGATGAAGTTTCCTTCAGAGATGGTGACTACATCATCAATGTACAACCGATCGATGATGGTTGGATGTATGGTACAGTTCAGAGAACTGGGAAAACTGGAATGCTTCCAGCAAATTACATTGAGTTTGTTAATTAGTTCAGCATTAATTCTTATGAGCATTTTGATTTACCTATAATCTTTTTAAACAAAGTATTTTTAAAACCACAACTTTATGATTTCCCTGTTAGTGTAACAATCTGTGATCATATGCTAAAGTCAACATATAGTCCAATAAGGAATCTAGGAATACTGAGCTCTGGAAGCATGATATTTAAAGTGATTTATAAAAACATACTGATGGTGGAAACTGGATTAATTTCATTTAGCTCCCAAATAGAATCCTGCCTTTATAGTAGGTTGTGTTTCTCATTTGAATTATAAGTATAAAGCAACCGATATTTTTTTATTGTGTGACTTTGAAATTGTAAGAGGTATAGCTTGCTGTTGAGGTTTGAGTTATTAAAAATTCAAGTGCATTGAATCAATGTTTTTGTTGTAACAAATGACATGATCAAGAGTTGCTTACTACTGCTTTGCATATCATGTTCTTAATGATGAAAGGTTCCTACTACCTATAGTTGTCTAATCTATTGTCTTTACTCTAAAGTTCTCATTTGCTCTATTTCTGCTTATATTAGATTTCGCAAAGCACTAGTTGACATGACTGCTGAATCATTAAATGTATGAGTCTTTTGGGTCAGTTAGTGACAAATTCACAATGCTCTTGTTAAATTCTGTATTTTCTGTTGTGTTAATACCAATTTTTTATTTGCCACTGTATTAACAGTCTTTATATAGAAGTCATTATCATTTAAAACGTCTTTCAAATTATACCAATCTCGTAATATTTCCTTTTATCACGATGGGAGTTTTCAATGAAAGTGACTACAGGTAGTCTTCTACTTACGACTTCATTTAATGAGAGTTCATAGTTAATGATGGCCTCAGATAAAATGATTTACAATTCCTCCTTGAAATTATGACCTCTGTACACTCAGTCACATGATGGCAAATTAGATGCTTGGCAACTGGCAATGACTCTCATTTATGACAGTTGCAGTATCTTGCAGTCATGTGATTGCAATTTGTGACCTTTCCAGCTGGCTTCTGATTAGCAAAGTCAATTGGAGGAAGCTGGATTGATCCAGGTCACATAATGATTCACTTAATGTCCATATTGTTAGCAACAAAAATTCTGGTCCCAATTGTGGTCATAAGTTGAGGACAACCTGTATATTTTACTTGTAACAGTAAAATGGATTGGTGATGTATTTTAGTTATAACATGAATGTAAGCTTAGATTTGAATTTAGTGAATCAGCAGGATTCTTCCCATCAATTTAATTTTAAAAAAGGTAGATTTTCACCAGACTTCCATTCTTCCTTGTCAATATAACTTATCAATATCTTCAATAACTAAATTATGACATCAGAAATTTTCCTTTGCAGAAAGATTTTAAAATTTTAAAATACTACTTTCAAAAAACATTTAAGGATTTAGAGATTGACATGTGCTTAAATATACTGGTTAATATAAACATAACAAAATACTTTGTAGATATATCTAAAAGTTGTTGGAGTTCATGAGATCCATTGGAGCTAGCTAGTAAGAAACTGGCAGACTGAGGACAAGGAAAGAACATATGAAACCCTATAAGGTCATAAACAATGAAGGCAAAGTGTATTGTATAAGACAGTTCCCACACTGCCTGCAGATTTCTTACTGCTTTTTTAGGCCTGTGCTAACTTGGTTAAACCTAAGCTAACTAAATTTTCTTGGTTTCATTTTGACTGTTGGAGTTGATATGATCATCAAAAATGAAGTATTAGAGGTACATGCATAACCGAAGAGCTATAGCTAAGGTTGTAGCAAAGAGCACAGCCCTATTCTTTTATTTTTCCTTTCATTAATCTCAAAGGAATGAAAATATGATGTGTCCATTTCTGGCTGGTATAGGTGGACTTTTGATAAAAATGAATGAAGTTTTATCTGGTTGGAGATTTCTCATGAGCACATGGCATATAATGTGGGAAAAAAACACCAATTTTTTGAGTAATGAATTAAACATTTTAAAACTCAAATCATATTTCTTCCACAAATTCAATCTGAGACAATCCATTCTTACCCATTCTCTGCATAGCAACAAACTATGTTTCAAGATTAAAGCAAAGTATAAGTGAGGCTCTTTATATAGCACTCTGTAGGATAGATAAGTGACTGGCAGCATTCAGTATCCTATTTGTAGCTTCCAAAAAGAGAATAGATGGGATGAATTTTAAAAAGCAACATGAGTATTTAAACTCTGCAGAGACATAAGCCACCCATAATACTACTTAAAAAGAACGTGAGACTTCTCAATTTGGCCCAATTTTTTCAGGTGGGAGGGCTAGGAGCTAAATTTTGAGAAACTCATTTTTTTAAATGTCCTGTTCTGATGAAGTTCCAAAAATTATTGGCTTGCCTCCTACAGATTTGGAGCAGAACAGAAACTAAAAATGTTTTTCTAATGCATGCTGTGGCTACTGAGTATTACTATATTGGATTAAATCATAGGTTTCTTTCTTCCTCTTTGAGGAGCAATCTTTTTAAAAGATGAAGGAAAACTTGGGATCCACCCTACTATTATTACAATTCCAAATGTTATAGTTGGGGGATGGGCGGGAAGCAAAATAAATATGGCCCAAAACATGGGAAGAAATGTTACTTTTATTTATTGGAATGTGTTCCCTGATTGTTGCTTCTCACCAATCTCTGCCAGTGTAGTCCTGAAACAAATATTTAGATACATTCTTGCAAAAGATATCACTATGAATTCTGTTACTTCTATTGTATTTTTATAATATTCAAAGTATTATATAAAAGGAAGATTTGGAAAGATCCTATTTTTCTATTTCCTTGGCTTAGCTATTAGATGGCATGGATATTAGATTAAATAATTATGCAACTCATATTTTTTCTGGTCTGAATGAAATGTACATTATTATTATTATTATTTTTAATCTAGGTGAGGTTAGGGGAGAGAAAATTCCAGGAAAAACTCTTTTATTAATTTTATACCTATTTGTATCTAAAGGATAAAATATATTTTGCTAAAGTTATAAATCGTAGAAATGAAAGATATGTTGGTCTTTCACAGAGACATGGCTCCACTGTGTTTATTTTACTTTTGCATTGTCTAAAGAAGCAGATTTAAATTGCCCTTAACAAGATGTCATAACATTGTTGACAAAAAGTAAAAGATCATTATTCTTTCAGCTATTAGCCAGGAAGCTTTGAAGATATAAAATCATTATTTAAAAGAGGGTATTTTTTTTTAATCAGAGGGAGAGAGAGAGAAAGAAAGAAAAAGAAAGAGAGATAAAAACAAAGGCCCAGAAGATGAATAAATGTTATGCCTTTAGGAACTTTTTCTGTGATATTGATATCAAGCCTTTCTCAAAGTGTGTGAACACAATCCCAGAATAGTTGATAATACAGTGTTATCCCTCTTGAGGGCACAGACTATTATTGGTTTTAAAAGTGCTACAATTTGATGAAAAGTACAGGGCAGTTTGCTATGCAAGGCACGGAAAGGAAATCTTGTTTTAATAAAAGAATATAATTTTTGATTTACATATTTATAACATTGTGATAGGGATACCACTTATCCCTATCTCAGGGATACCAATATTTTTCTGTGTGGTTTATTTTGAAGGTGGCTCTCAACCTCAAATCTACCATAGATAGAATCAAAATGTAAAGTGGAAGAGGACTTTAGTCATTAGTGTCAGTAAAAACTATTATTTGTGCATTTGCAAGTACAGAAATGTAGGATCTCATCTGGGTGCACATTTTTGTTAAGTAAATAGTATTAAGGAATATAGGATAGAGATGCTAAAAGTTTAATTCCTGATCTCTGTAAAAAAAATCTTATCTCCTTACTGAGAGAATACCTTTGATTGATCTTATTGGCCACCATCATTTTTAAAAGCAACAAGATTTTCTTTCTATCTTTAAATCTTAAGATTCAGATTCAGGAATTTTTGAAATGATTAGTTTTAGATAATCTATGAGTGGGTTTTACTCTGCAGTGAAAAGTAAAGCTGACAAATCACATTTGTGTGAGGAAAACCGTAGACAAAAGTAACATTGATTTCTTTTCCCACATCCTATATTACAGTACATGAATTTCCAAAAGCTATAAAAGATTTTTTCCCCCAACTTGGAACTTGGAAATCTGCTGTCTATGTTCTGTATCCAGGATACAAAGAAAACTAAGGATGAAAATAGAGGACTTTCCTTAACTTTAGCACACAGACTAAGCTCATTGTCATGAAATATATTACTATGCCTTAAATATTTCTTTGAGAAATATAAGTACCTTAAATTTTCATGGCATAACTGTATCTGCATTTTTAAAAAAGAATCATGTAATATTTTGATGCAATAACGCTGTTCAGTCATTCAGTCATTCTCATTATCTGATGGACTTTATTTTGCCAAGATTGTTTGCTGATATCCTTTTCCTGAAGTTATTGTAAATTCATGTGTCTCATCCACACTATCTAGCTGCTTGTCTTCTGCTAGCCTAGTTGTCTATTGCCTACATTTTTCCAATCTCCATAATGTATAAACTTTAGCTCCCTTATGAGCGCTTCCAGTGAGCAATCTAGTTTTATTTCATTGTGTTGTATAATTTGTTATCTTGTAATGCAAGGCATTCTCAACAATTTCTCCCATCTTTTCAATTCAAGGCAGCAATTTTTCTTTGTTGGATCTTTCTGATAATATCATTCCCTCTTAAAATTGGGAAAATCATGATCTTAACAATATGTACATTTGATTTCAGTGTGCTATGTTAATGGTCTTTGGCTCACTTTAATATCTTGTCCTCCACAATATTGAAGAACTGTATAGCAACATTCCTTCTGCAAAAGAAACCTGCCACTATAGGAACCTGGGACTCAATCCATGTGTTCCTTTAGTATCTTTGTTTAGCTATTTGTGCCCTTACCCACATAACTCATTTGCTAACAGAAGGATGTCTTAGTTTTACATTATTGGATTAAAATTTAACATCTCCAAAAGTGTTGCAAAATTTCACGCAGTTGCTATTGCTTTATGTGTAGAAATATTATCTTAATTTTAAGATTTTATAACTATATAAACATTATACTTTTTATTTTATTTTGGACCACAATGAAATTATACTAGAAGTGTCAGTCTATCTATACAGCAGATATCTCTATTTCATGGCTTCAGCCACAATGCCCGTGAACTTTTTTTTAACTCTAGAAGGATGAACTCTATTACTGTTTGCCTGCCTATTTGCAATGACTTGGCATTGCTTGATTAGTATTCTTTATCCCTTCTTAAGAAGTGATCCCTTAAGTCATCTTTATTTTTAGCCTTCAGTACAGTATCTGAGGTTAGTGATGTTTTTCCCAGCAATTTTGATTCCAGTTCTGTTCTTCTGGTCTAAAATTTCTTGATATACTTACATATAAGTTAAATAAATAAGGTAACGGTATACAATCTTGGCACATACCTTTTCTAACTGTATATAGTTTGATTGTTCCATGTAGTGTTTCTGTTTGCATTGATTATGTAGAATTACTCTATACCTGTTTCTCTTATCTGGAAATCGATATTTAGTTGGGCAGATTTTCCTCTGTTGCTTTTGATTTTTCTATTTCCATGACTATTTATAAGATATTATCAGATACCCATTTTCTTTTTCCTTGTATTTTAATTTCAGAATATTTTTGTTTACTTTTTTAAAGAAATCTTAAATTTCAATCTAGACTTCAGACAGTCTAGATCAGTGATGGCGAACCTTTTAGAGACCGAGTGCTCAAACCGCAACCCAAAACCCACTTATTTATCGCAAAGTGCCAGGGGCCCATCAGCATTGTGGTGCCCTCGGGGGGAAACGAAAAAACCAGGGGCGCAAAAACGGCCACCGCCGCGCCACGGGGTGCAGATACAAGACGCTGCACCAAGCAAGAATGGGGCAGGGCTAGTGAGTATCAAGCAGGCACTAGCCCTACCTCATTTGCAGGGCATGCATACTCGCGGCCCCATGCGCGCACACCTGCACATATCAAATACTTCCCCCTCCCTTTTCTTCCAGTCCGCCAATCGACAATGGTTGGTGGCCTCTACCACCTCTACTCGAGCTTGCTAGTCAGCCGCTTCGCCTCCTTTGTGCTGGGCGGGGCTCCTGCTCCAGGCGGTGGTGGCGGCCTGATGGACCTGCTGCTGGTTGTGGCATGCATGCCAACAGAGAGGGTTCTGAGTGCCACCTCTGGCACGCGTGCCATAGGTTCGCCACCACTGGTCTTAGATTATTTGTTTTCTTAAAGCAAATAAAACTCCTTTGCAAGAAGGAGTTCATGATCTGAATGCCAGTCATAACCATGTATTGTTTTTGCTGAATGTCTGGAGTTGATTTTGATGTTGTTCACCTGGAGAACTGCACACATAGAATCATATTGGAAGAAAATATTTGCTGCAGACGTAGAATTTTTATGCAAAATTCTTACTAATGCCTTACTTATTAGGTATGCTAAGGCTAAATTTTTGCATTATGCCATTTGCTGTTTTACTTCTAGCATTCAAACCTCCCATAATTAATATTTCATAATTAATTTTTTGGAAGTGCATTGTACATTGTTGTATTTGTTAGCAAACTATAGCAAGTTTTCATCATACTGTTCAACTTTTGTGTCTGAAGGATAGATTTGGATTACCATAATACTGATTGGTGTGCTTGGATCCAAATGGAGATTATTCTATCATTTGGGAGATTGTATCTGAGCTCTCATTTTTCACCTTTTTTCTTAATAATGGTGACTATTATATTTCTTCTGTGATTTCCTTGTCAATAGTAGATGATTTTATGATTCTCTGACACGAAGTGCAGTTAGTTTTAGTTGATTCCTAATTTTTTACGCTAAAAACACCAGATTTGTTTTGATTCATGGTTCTTACATTTATCAGTGTGAGGATATCTTTGTAGCATCGAACTTTCCTTTTGCTTCCGATTATAATAGCAGCTGGACATCATTTCAGTTTTAATCTAGCCACATCATAAACACCAGTGCTACTCATAACATTGTCCTGATTGTGGATGTTCATTTGGGGTTTTTTTGACAGAATACTGGAGTGGATTGCTGTTTCTTCTGGGCCACATTGAGACTAACCTTGTCTATGATCTGTTGATCATGAGTGACCCTTATGGGAGTCCGCCCTGCTATAGGATAGCTCATAGCATTACTGGACTGTGCAAATCCCATTACAAGGTAACCGTACATGAAGAGTAATATGTTGTATGTTTAAAAAGCAGGGTAATAACCAATCCATCAAGTATTTTTAAAGCATATGTTACTATAAGTACTGATTTCCCAGATCTGAAGTTTACTTTTTGCTGCTAATGGAGAAGCAGAGCAAACTATATTCAGTCTTTTCACTCTCCCACCTTCAAATATTATCCATTGCTATTAAAATTGGTGATTTCTTTGCCATTACTGAAGTAGTTTACAAATGAATGAAAGGAACAATTTTCACAGTTCTGATTTGTCCATGTGCAATGCAGCAATATTATTAAATAGGATACTGAATTGCAAGGGGGAAATGCCAACAATGGCCACCAGGTCCATGATCTCTGCAGCCTAGGCAGCCCCAAGATGCCCAGCATATCACTTTGATAGTCCTCAATTTGGGAATTCTGTGGAAAGAAAGAAAAAAAATGAATGGATGGATGGATGTTGTATTGCTGTTGTTGTTGCTGCTTACCCATCTAAGAAGTTGGGGTGGAAGGGGAAAAAAGGGGAGGCTTATAAGAGAGCGGCACATATGAAATGGTAGTTGTCCTATTTATTTTTTATGTAAAGAAATCAAACATGAAAGCATTGTCTGCATGAGAAAGAGAAAGAAATGGAGAAACAGATGAAGCTGGATGGCTAAAAGCATCTTAAGCTTTTAAGATCATTCAATACCTCTATATCAGTTTAAAATGAATTGTACTTATCCAAGACTATTGACCAATTATGAACATATTTAAATAAATGTTAGCAAAACATTTTCATATTAAGTGCTACCTGTACATAAGGTTGCTTCATGCATCATGCAAGCAATGTAGTTGCCACCAGAAATTTCATTCTTACCTATTAGACTTCTATGCCCACAATGCTAACAAAACCATGCAAGGGTATTTTTCTATCCAAGATTTGTTGACGAAGCCAAAGCTGGTTGGATTTGCACATATTAAGTCAAAACCTGTAATTTATAAATCACAAGTGGCTCAGTTTGCACAATTAGTTTTACCAAGTCTAAGCAAACTATAACATGGTTTAGTGTGATGCATGGGATATGAGCTCATCCTCTTTTGATCAGTCATTATACAGAAATCTAGTCATCCCCTCGCAGTGCTTGCTTTCAGTGCTGCAGTATCATCTAAAGCATTGCCATGCCAAAGTTGCTTTCAGTGACAATTGTATCATTTTGTAATATCTGAAATAGCCTTTAGAGTCCCACTGTGAATATTTATAAGTCTGGATAACTGGAAAAACATTTTTGACACCTTCTTGAGAATCAAAGGCATATAGGCAATCTCCAGGTTACACAAAGGTTTCATTATAGGAATCCATGTATAAGATGATAATAGCAGTAATAATTTTTCACATGTACAAATACGTTGCCTGTCATTTTTCAGATTTGCAAAATGGGGGCTGTCACTCTTTTGTCCCTTTCCAGTCAGAGCTTATTTGACTGGGTCAAAATATCTTGATCTTTATTTTCCATGAAAGAATAACAGCAATATACTCTTCATTTTAAATTATTTCCAGGAATAAGTAGTGATAATCATACAGGGAAACAGTAATTTGACTATATATTATGTGTTTTGAATAATATGTAACTTAAAACTACTGGATAAATGTTAGCTAGTGTTTAATTAGTTTAGCATTTGGTGTATTGAAACCAGTTGATGAAACAGAACTATTAAAATCTCTAGACACATCCTGCTAGCAAACATAGGCTTGTATATGTTACAGATCACAAAGAAATTAATCTTTTATCAACATTTCTGAATGTCGTGACTTTATTTATTAATTTTTGTCACACTTGGATTTTATTTCTACTTTTCCCTGAAAGAAAAAAGCACATTTATTAAAAATATCTTTTTATTGCATAAAAATCTCTTATGCTGTCAACAGTTTTTGATGACACATGTAATTTCTAAAGCTCCATATCTAGTCCTTGGGCTTGTGGTTAAAAGGATCTAGAACACACCCTGGCTTGCTACAATCATCAAGGGCAACGCTTGTAATAACAATTCACTTTTCTGGTTCATCCCAAATATCCTTGAATTAAGAATGTGACAGAGAGAGGGGTATCAAGGCAAACTTATTTACCCAAGCTTGTTTTAACACTCTCTCAATTTTAATCCAGACAAAGCGATGTTTCACATAGACTGAACTGGAGGCATTTATACTAACTGTCCCCTGAAAAATGATAAATAATGTGCAAAGATCTGCAGAGATAATCAGATGTGCCCACTCTTGCTTCTACTGTTCTTTTTACCTTTACATGGGGATGTTATCTCATTGTAATAGAGTACACTTTTATATTCTGCCAGGTTGCTTCCTACTGCAGGCTTTGTTCTTATTGGATAGTTGGCCGAGGGAAGAGAAAATATTTAATATCTACCCATCTACAAAGAATCGAACATAAAAGAAAGAAGCAAGTTGGAGCAGAGTGCATCATGATTAATATTGCATCAATAGAGTGACTGTGATAACTCAGCTTTCATTAACAAAAATGACTTAATTCTCAGGTTTTCTGCTCTGCCTTCCTACGTCTCTTTAAAATTCAGGCTGAAATCTGCTTCAAACTTTCTTTCTGTCTGTTTCCCATTTTTTTCTGATAATATTCCAATAGTTGTTTTGTCATTAAAAAAAAAATCTAGTCCTCCCCCCCATGTTGCTATAAAAGCAAAAAAGAAGAATTCTTCTCCCTGATGCTCTACTGGAGGTTATATTTAATTGTGCATCTTACAGACCAGCCACCTGTTTAGACGGTATTGCCAATCCAAAGGATTGGGTTCCTAGGTTTTTCTGAAAAGCAGTGCTTTTTCTTTTTTAATGTCAAGAGTTGGTATTCCTGTTTCAATAGGTTTTCCTAAACCATTGAATACTTTTTCAATTAAGTTTCTGGTCTCCCTTTACTTAAAATAAAAGTATCATGAAAGATTACATCATTTAGATACAACCAAGGTGATCAAATTCTGAAATAATTTTAAAAGGAAAATAAAAAGAAGCAAAACTTTCTGTTTCTGAGTCTCAAAATACCCATTTCTTCTTTGAAGTGAAACATGACTTTTAGAATGGTCAAATTTGCATTTTTCTTGTTAAATATTTGGAGCTAATTTTTCATTCTGCCTGCACAATTACTGGATACTCAAAGGAACTTTATATGCGTTTTTCTTACCCAGCATATAGAAAATACAAAATATTGTATCTATCATGCAATCACATTGAAACTGAAAATATGTTATTTTGAAGCAATCATTAAGTTATCTACTGTACCACTGGAAATATGTGTACTTAAACATTGCAAAATATGAATTGATTAAAACACCAGAAATAATTTTATTGATTGTATTTGATTAGCATGATATGAAGCTCAATCTACTATTTTTGAAGTTTATAAAGAGCAAAAAACAAATTACTGTTGTAGTATAATGTACTGTTCCTTCAAATGTAAATTCTTTGTTATTTTTCACAATTGTATGTTATTTGGTTATAAGAAATTATAAAAAACCATTGATGCTTAATGGAATGAGGACTTTCAATGTATCAGATGATATATTTATAGATTTGGCTTTTGTTATGCAAAAGGATAACATCAATAATTAAAATATATTTTACTTGAAATGCTTTAAATTCTATTTTCCCCAACTCACTGTGAATAAAGCAACATTTTGTTACCTGAAGTTTGAGCCTATGCAACCTAATATCTATTTGGTTCTGGTCAAATAATTGCAGTTAACATACAATGGCACTGAAATAAAGTACACTATTAAAGCTTCTACCATGTATGCATTATGTCAATTAAAAACATTTCAAAAACAATTGGATTCTGTGACATGGAACAGGGTTGGGCAACTTACATCCTTCTTGATACACCAGCTTTCCAGCTTTTAGAGCCATCTAAACGTACTTATGCAATTGCTGAAATAGTGTTTGATGATGACATTTCCCAGTGTACTGTGGCAATAAGATGTATATCCTATTTACACAGATAAAGTTAAGTTTTAATTAAATACTATTTAGAATGGTAATTTTCACAATTTTTGTTCTTGCCCCCACTCAGTTTTTAAGTGTAGTCAACAGCAAACTATACAAATATGGTGACCCTTGGCCCCGAAGTGGTTACCCAGACCTGATATAGATATTTACATTATAGTTGTGTTATATGAGATATGTGTCATTTTGGGATGAGTGTCAGAAACGTTATCTCATACTAGGATATGGTATTATCGTTCTTGGTTATTTGGAAGCAGTGAAAACAAATTACAGGGATGAAGAGTAATAGTTGAATGATTCAGCACATTGTTCTACAGAGGAAGTAATGATTAAAATGTTGAACTATGACTGGGAAGACCTGTATTCAAGTCCATCTCTGCCAATTGACATTCTCATGGTTACTTGGGTTATAATTATCATTTTATACTACACAATAACAATTGGAGAATATATGTATGTTGCCTGAGCTTCTGAAGGAGTGACAGGATGAAAATCTATGAACTAAATATAATTTTGGTTGTACTGTTTTGGGTTAAAATATTTGAAGAGAATAAGATGAGATGTAATTTGGCATAAGGCAATTTATTCCACTGCACTTTGCTTCTCTTATTCTTCATATGATCTCAATACAATATTGCTGCTTGTACGAGAAGGACTGATGAAGTAGCAGCAACTCTTTAGCTGGGGTCCTTCTTCTGACCTAGGAAATTATTATAGTAGATGAGTGCATGGCCAGTATTGCATTACAAAATATGCTTATAATTTTTAATGTGGCAGAACAAGAACTCCCATTTATTTTTTTCTTATGCCAAGACTGCAGGACCCATCGGATTCATAATACAAGTGTTAGAAAGACAGCTCTAATTTCAGTGTCTGTGGTTTGTGGTTGAAAGTCACATTATGTGATTCCAAGTTTCTGGAACTGGCAATATCAACTAATATCCCCACAATCTCAAATTTGTGAAGATTAGTAGTCCTCAAAATAGCTTCTTTTACTACAGAAACCTCAAACATCCATATTTCTATAAAACTTCATTGTAATTTCAGATTATAATAATTCTATAGAAGGATTTTTGTGGTTTCCCTCCTCCATTAGAAAAAAAATAAACCATTGTTTTCATCTGACATGGAAGCATATAATTATTTCCCTGTTCTTTCTAAAATGATTTTAAAACCATCTGAACCATTAGTTGTCATTTTTCCCCAATACTTTCTTTTCAATTTTTTTTTTGTTCTGGCCATCACATCTGTTAAACAAATTATCAATATAGCAAGATATCATGTAATACCCAATGTTTTTACAAGAAGGGCTGTTTGTTTATTGTATTAAATTAGATGCTACTAATAATAAGAATAATTTCTATTATAGAGCAGAAAGAATTTTATCTACTTACTCTGAATAACATTGAGGTGTTGGGCTTTTTTAAATAATTCATTGTAAAAAGAAAGGTCCAAACATGCCCAGAAACCACTATAGTGCGAAACACAGCTTACATTTGTCACAGATATTACTAACCTGGAATTGTTTGGCCCTTCCACTATGAAACAAATATCTCCAGCTTTATTTTGGATGATATTTTGAGATATGTATTGGTGGCAGGAGTTTGCATAATGTGCTCTGTAATTCTCTCCTTTGGCATTTCTAAAAGTTTAGAATGTTTGCAGTAAATGTTCATGTTGGCAAAAATATCCTCAAAAGTTGCCTTCTTGTGAAAAGGTTTTAGTTTCATTTGTCTGATTAAAAATGTGCTCTTTTTGTTAATCACAAGAGATCATGGAATTTCATTTGTAACTTTTGCTTCCTAAATATATTATTGTGTATTCACACATCTTGACTACAAAAGTTGATTTTGTTCATGATTGAGCTATTACAGATCGTTTACATTGATATCATTTGTCTGTATCTGTGCGTGCCCGTGTGTATGCATTTATGTATTCCAGAGGTTCTACATACTTACATTAAAATGGTTTTTCTGTGCACAGGAATAATATATTCAATAGCATAGAAAGCTACTAAAAGCTGCTTGTAATGCAGCTAAATATGAATGATGATGAAAAAGAAAAAGAAGAAAAAGATTACACAGAGGTTATGGGAGGAAAGGAAGATGGCAAAGTGGTTGCAACCTTTGAAACAAGTTTTATTAAAATCTTCTCATACTACCTTTCATTTTATTTTAGTGCCTTTCATAGAGGTTATGTTCATACATAATATAACTCAATTAAGTTTTTTTTACATTTAATTAGTAAACAGTCATAGTCTATTTCACACCTAATGTGAACAGATTGCTTTTCATGTTAGGCTAAATCATAAACAAACTATATCAAGGATTAGCATTATATATGAGCCAAACTCAGAACTTACCGAAAAACTTACTTCCTGAATACTTAAAATTTTTAAGGTATTATTTTTGTCAACAGTATTCAGAATAAAATATAGATCAGTCCATTTTACATGGTAAAACAAGTTATGTTAGGAGCATAAATGTTATTGGTTAGTATTTATTTATGACATTGGAATTGGGAAGAACATTAAAAATTACAAAACCAAAATAATTACATTATAAGTACTTTGCAACAGTTCCCTTTTTAATGGCTCACTGAAGGGTCAAAATGCTCAGTTCTTTAATACCTCTGTCCCATCTATGTTATTTATGGTCAGTATCTGTTGAAAATTTCTTTTTTCCACACAAGAGAATAAGTATCAGAATAAGGGAAATAATATAATAAGATTAATTTAAAAGTTTCCATCTTTCTTGTTCAGCTGTAACTATTTCTAAATATCTTTTGGCATAGTTTCATTTATTTGACTAGTTTTATTTATTAAAACTAGTGTTTCTGTTCAAATTCACATGCAAGTACAAAGGAAACAAAAAAAAAATCCATTCAACATTATTCAAACATTTTAACATTTAAAAGCCCAAATTTGAATGCTAATCTTATTCATGACTCTTAATAGCAAAGGATTCAAAATTAATTCCAGAGGGAACTGAAATGTCAGTTGTAGAAAGGGAGAAAAAAACTCTGATGGTTTAAATTGAGTCTGGCTTTTTAATATGAGACAGACAAGGAAGAAAAGTGGTTGTATTATCTGGCTTCTAGAAAAAACATTATTCCTCCAAACAAAGGATTCAGAAGAATGCTACAAAATGGAAGAAAAATCAGAGGCCACTTCCAAATAAAACAGAACATTTTTTTTGGGGGGGGGGGAATTGGTCATTAAAAAACCATTAAAGTCAAACCAAGGAGAATTTTAGACACAATTGTAAATGCATGTGATAGAACTGCTGATTGTGAAAATTTTCATCATTGCTGCCTGCAGGTAGCTATAATCCAGGTGATCTTGTTAGAAGGAGAGCACAATGTGATATCTCACTTTTGGAAGGGTCTCCATTCAAAATATTATTCTATATTTAAAATAATTAACTGATCAATATTTTTCATTTATGTCAGTGAGGCTAATGTTAAAATATATGCATAAAATTACTTCAGTTATTATTGTGTTTATTTTCCTAGGCCAGGGGTAGGCAACCTCGGCTCTTTTATGACTCACGGACTTCAACTCCCAGAATTCCTGAGTCCTGTCCTAGGCCATTGACTTGAAACATTTTAAAAAATATTTGAGGGGGGGGGGAAAGTTACATAAAGTGTTATGAGAAGGAAGCAGTGGAAGAAGACCTTAAATGAAAATTTTGCTTCAAGTTCTTTCCTGCTCAAAGCTTCTCAGTAAATGTTTGATGAATTCAAATCTATTTATAATAGGAGAAGGAAAGAAGGAAGGAAAACCTAGCTAATTAAGGAATTAAAAAGAACACATTAGGATTAGATTTCTCAAAATCTTTTTTCCCCTAGGTCAGTGGTGGCGAACCTATGGCACGCGTGCCAGAGGCGGCACTCAGAGCCCTCTCTGTGGGCACACGCACTGTCGCCCCAGCCCTGCCTCCTCCCACGGCCCCCTCCTCATCAGCAGCTCCCCCGGAGGAGATTCACCCCCAAGTGTGGCCCACACGGAGCAGCACAGTCAAGGACATGGCGGCCAGGCAGCGGGGACAAGATTCCCCTCATGCCCCATCGCACGCAGATGATGCTGTGGGGTGCGGACGAAGGGCATGCCTGCCATGGTGCTGCTGGGCTGCCTGGGCGATCTGGGGCAGGCCATGGAGGCGATGGGTGGCTGGGGGGATGGGGAGGGGGGTGGGGGTGGGGCGGGCATGGTGGGGGCGGAGCCAGTTTTGGGGCACTTGGTCTCTAAAAGGTTTG